ACCCGTCCCTCATCTCCAGCTCTTCATGCAGATAAAACTGCATACCGCTCACGGCATGACGTCCGTTATCTGTCGCCCGGAAGTTGAAGTTTATCGATGCATACCCGTCCATCATCCCCAGCTGTTCATCCAGATAAAAATGCATCCGCTCCAGCAACGCAATCGTACTCCGTATCTATAATCAACGGGCAAAGCCCCCGATCAGGTAGTAATACTGATATGTACAATGCGCAGATCCTGGCCGTTGACCGACCCCACATCTCTCTCCTTCCTTCTGCGGTCAATCTAGGATTACCAACTTTCGGCAGACAAGATCAGGCTCTGGCAGGTGCATGGTTGTTGCCCCTCGAATTTGCCTGGTGGGTTTAAACCACCAGTACTTTTCCCAGGCATTTTTCTACAACGCAGCTGCATGCACGCCTTGTCTGGCAGGAGGTTCCCTGACAAAACACTTCGCATGCAAGGCCCGTTTTGCCTGGATGGATTTTTTGTGAAGCGGCACCCCGTTACATCCTTCCAGTGTATGCCTCACGAACGGGGACGGAGCATACGAACTTCCGTACGGTCCGTACGTACGGTGTTCAGGCCCTCCGCACGTGGCCATAGAGGGGGGGGTAGTGTAGGGGGAATGAGGGGCTGGGCGGGGTGCGGGCCCCCCCCCATCAGAAACAACAAAAACTGGTTTTTTGGGGGGGGTCGGGGTTGTGAAAAAAAAAAAAAAAAAAAAAAAAAAAAAAAAAAAAAAAAAACCTGTGATGACCCAACCAAACACGGACTGAGACACACAGGTGATTTCTGAGTTTTGCTCATGGACTGAATGCCTTGCTGAGTTTCCCGCTTGCTACCAAGTTCTCTAAGTCTGTGTGTGGGCACGCTTGCTGGTCTGCATGTCTGTCTGAGTGCTTGTTGGCTTGAGCGTGTGTGTGACCCGCAAGGACACTTGTTCGTTCGTTGGGTCCTCAGGGCTGGTACTTACCTGTTGCCGTGACATCGAGGATTGCAGCGGGGAAAACTCTCAAGTGGCGGGGGAAGAGGCCCGCAACACTTGAAGCAGCGGGGAAACACTCAAGTAGCAGGTAGGCCGGTACCACACCCCGAAGAGGTAGATGTGCCGGGTACTCGAAGCCGAGCAGAAGAAGACAAAAGTTGGCAGTTTTAGAGGCCCAGTAGTTGTAGGCTAGGTCTAGGCTGGTACCAGTCCAACCAGTCTGAGTCTAGGGCCTGTACAGGCAATATCAGAGTGTGCAATGATGTTTCCTCCGAAAGGGAGGAGGTATCGGTTGGTCGGAAGGCTGAGCGGCCTGGGAGTCACCGCCCAAGAGGCAAGCAGGTCGCTATATCTCCAGACCGGGTGAAGAGCCCAGCCTCATTGTCGGTGTGCAAGTTTGGCGACACACTGGTTGGAGTGCTGGCTGGAGCAGCACTAGCAAGAGCAGCGCTGCTGGGGGAAGGAGCAAGGACACGGTGGAGGAAGGAGGAGGAAGAAGACCAGGAGGAAGGGAGAGCGCCAGAGGTATTTACCTGGCTATGGTGGCAGCCATCTTCATTACCTTGGTGGGCGCTGCAGCAGGAAGACCCCAGCTGGGGTAGAGCTACACCAAGAAGCTCCGAGGCAGACTCAGGCATGGCGGCCTGAGCTAGAGCAGCCATCGCTGCTTCGTGTTGTCCTTTGGAGAGCCAGGTCATGCCCCGGTAGTCCGCCCTAGCCTCGTCCTAGGAGGAAGAAGGAGAGAGACAGCCATGGCTATGGTGGACCTTCTTTGATGCCTGCAGTAGAAGAGGAATTCAGACATTGATTCTGGTTCAGACATTCAACATTGTACTATTATTTCTTGTGTGAATAAGAGAGGAGGAGTAAAGGAGGAGGAGAGCGTTTGGCGAAGAAGAAGAGCATTATCATTTGTCTATGTTGGTGTACATCATCTTCTTCTTCTTTCTTTTTTTTTTCTTCTTCTTCTTACCCTCTCTCTCCTCTCAAGTTCGTTCATTTCTTTCTGCCATTGGACGGCATTGTACTATCTGATGAATGTGTACTTCGAAATTGGCCAGGATCATAACAAAAAGAGTGATTGATTGATTGATGAATTGATTGATTGATTGATTGATTGGTTGGTTGGTTGATTGATTGATTGATGGATTGACTGATTGGTTGATCAAAACAAAAACAAAAACAAAAGAAATAAATGCAAGAAAAAATTGATTCATTGACTAGGCTACCAGCCGGGCTGCCCGGGTCACCCTTTTTTCCCGGGCGGCCCAGCCGTGCAAGGACCACGAAGGTCCCAGCCAAAAAAAAAAAAAAAAAAAATCCAAAAAAAAACTATGTTATGCAGCAAAATAAACTGAACAACTTTTGCCTCAGGTTCACATCGAAATTCTTTGCCAAATTTAAAATAAAATTAAAAATTAAAAAATATTTTTTATTATTTATTTATTTATTATTTTTTGCCCCGGCCGGGCAAGTGGACCCCGGCCACTCTGGTAGCCTAGTTCATTGATTGATTGATTGATTGATTGATTGACTGGTTGGTTGGTTGATTGATTGATTGATCAATTGAGTGGTGGTTTGATTGATTGATTGATTTGATTGTTGGGGGGGGATCGCCTCCCCCCCGCGTTCACACGCAGACACACACACACACACACACACACACACACATCCCCCCCGTGTTCACACGCAGACACACACACACACACACACACACACACACACACACACATACATACACACAATTGAATCCTGGGCAGACTGTCGGGGTTCAACCTCCTGATGAGTCGGTGAAAGTCCAACGAAACAGTCTGTTCGGCACAGTCATGCTTTTTTTGAGTGTATAGCGAATATGACAACACACACACAAAAAAAACAAAAATAAAAAAAAATGATAGTGTGGCTGGGTGGTCCATGACCGATCACAAGGGAAAAATACTAAAATCCAAAAATTCAAAAAACAAAGTGTGTTGTGCAAAAAGCAAGACTGAACAGTTTTTGTCTCAAATTCACATCCAAATTCCTTACCAAATTGAATAAATTCGCAAAAACACACACACACAAAAAAAAAATCTTATTAAAAAATAAATTAAAATAAATAGCAGCTTTAAATTTTAAATTTAAATTTTAAATTTTTAATGGCATTTCACTTACACCATTAATGTTTTTCTTTTCTTTTTTTTTTAATTAAAAAAAAGTCAAATTCGAGTCCTCTGCCGCAGTCACCGGGTCACCTTCTGGTCATCAGGACCCTCCCGCCTCTCCCCGGTTATGACCGGCCGGGGTGGTACACAGGCCTACAACTACCTCTATCAAAATTATATAGTTTCAAAACTTCAGCGCCACAAAAAAAAACAATCGTCTCGTCTTTTCTGGCTCTTCCATTCCGACATGGATCCCATGAATCTGGCCTATCTTTTTTTAGAGGTTTTCTTAATTCGAGGTAAGGGACATAGCCACATATCTGACTGGATGCGTATTGGATGCATTCACCCATGAGCCCGTTAGACACAGTTGGCCACAGTTCATCCAATTGCAGACCCATTCTCTGCCTGTGTGTGATACGCAACGGGAGGCATATCTCATCTGGGAAATAGCGGCTGGTTATATTCGCACAATGCACAGATGATGCTCGATGATAAAGAATGGATTATAACCCAATCCATATCTCCTGCACTCACACAATCACGATCATCAAGCATCATCTGTGCATTGTGCAAATATAACCGGCCGCGATTTCCCAAATTCCATTTTCCGACTAAGAAGGGGGTGCAAGCATGCAATCACCAAGGAATCGAGCAGGGGAATTCAGAGCGATGAGCTTTATTATCAAAATATGTGAACAAAGAACATATTTGAGTATATCCAACCATGAGAGAGCACACCATGCAGGCAGGTAGGTAATCCCTTCACAAGTTTTCAGGATGCAAAATCAGACAAAAATTCCTGGATATTCACAGCAGAGACGTACATTCTTAAAGAAAAGTATGAGCGAGCGATCACAAAAAAAAAAAAAAA